AAAACAATGAAATGCAAAACACAACTGAAATTTTATTTATCCGCAACTTTGTACAAAAGTTCATTACAGCAATTCAAAAAAAAAAAAAAAAAAACTATCCCTTGTTAGTACGCATCACCCGTTTTCCATTCTCTTATTATTATTTATTTTATATTCCACCAAAAAAAAAAAAAAAAAAAACACAACTCTGTACAAATTTTGTTCACTCCAACTCATTCCTCCTCACTGGAAACGAGGTCTTCTTCTTCAATACCCTCATCCAGGGGGGTCTGGGCCACATCGTCCTCACCAATTGTTACACTACTGAGGTCTAAGTCTGGGAACAGTTCTTCAGCTCTACGCTTGAACATCTTCCAGCCACTGTCCCAGAACTCAGCCATTTTGTGTTTATAGAAATCTGACTGCTGGAAGTTCTCAATAACTTCTGCTTCAGTTCTGCCTCCAACGGTCGTCCTCGATGGGCCCGCCCCCCCAGATTCTTGCCTAGCCAAGCTACTGGCGACCGCGGCATCAACTGCCATCTGAAATTCAGCAGACCCTTTGAATTGCTCCACCGCGACGACACACAGATCGAGGTAGGCCGCCCTCTCAGAGGCTGCCTTTGGCCTCTCTTCGTCCAGCTCTTTCTGCAGGGTCGCCCTTTCAGATGCAGCCTTAGCCCTCTCCTCCTCTAACTCCTTTTTCAGGCTCTCTTTTTTCGCCGTCGCCTTGTCTCTCTCTGTTTCCAACTCCTTCTGAAGGCTCCTCCTCTCCTCCACTACCTTAGCCCGCTCACCCTCCAGCTCCTTCTGCAGATCGCCAACCTTCACATCTGCCTCATCTTTCTGTCTGACCAGCTCTTCATTACTGTTCATTGCCTTTTCATAGTGTTCGACCGCGACTGCGCAAGCTTTTTGGGCCTCATCCAGCTTCTTCTACTTGCCAGCCAGTTGGAACTCGAGCGACACAACCTGGCGGCGTGTGTTCTCCAGCTCCACCTTAACCGCTTGCAGATCAACGTGGGCACTCTCCTAACTTGCACTCTTCTTCTTCAACTTTGCAAGCTGAGCCTTGGCCTCATCTGCCTTGAGTTTGGTAGCCCTCGCCTTCCTCAGTAGAGCCCCTGCTAGAATGGTTACCTCTATTTGAGCGGAGCATAACCCCCTTAGCAGTTCAGCCTCGTTGAATCTGGATGCCGAGCGCAAGGCTGCCTCTTCTACAATCCCTACCAGGCGGTCTGCCCCTGCCCTGGCTGGGCCTTTTTCTCCCTCTAACCGCCCCGCCACCGCACGAGCATGGTAGATCGCTGTGGTCAGACTGACTTCCCCTCCTTGAGGTGCAGGACCCCCCTGGGCTGTTCTTCCCTCCTTGGCCCAGGGCCAGTTGCCCTTCAGGGGCGGCCCTTGCGATCCCTGCGGCGATCGCCGCCACTACTGGCACCACCTCCATGCCCTCTGAGGCGATGTCCACCACTTCTGAAACAATCACTCTTCCTAGGGTCCCCCCCACTTCCTCCCCTCTACCTCCTTGGCCACACTGGTCTCTTTTACCCTCGTCTCCCTCCTTCTCTTCTGGCCAGGCTCTTCTTCACTCCGCCTCACCCTCTTCTTCTTCTTCACCACGCCCAACGCCTCCATCTCCTTCAAAGACCTCTCCTTCAAAGGGTCTATTGAGGGCGGTCGCGGCACAAATTCGCCTAAGTCCTTCTCTCCCAAGGGTTTGGGGCGAGATCGAATTCTCTCCCTTGCAACTAGTTTTGGTGGTCGGTCGGCCTGGGACTCTTTGAATTTTTGTACAAAATTACGGATAATGTTGCCACGTGTACAATGTTGCCACGTATACGACCACGATCCACTATCTCCTCCCCTTACCTTGTCTTTTCCACTTCAAATCACCACGTGACATGCCGCCTCTTGAGCCCCACGCCCCTCCACCTCACCCTTCGCAGTCGGCCTTCCCCAATGGTCGGCCCTCCCGCCCGGCCAACATTCGCGGTTGGCCCTCTTTGCGACCGCCTTCTTCACGGTCGGCTCTCCCACCCGGCCAATATTCGCAGTCAGCCCTCTTCGCGACCGCCCTCTTCACGGTCGGCCCTCCCGCTCGGCCAACCTTCATGGTCGCCCCTCCTCGTGGTCGACCTTCCCACTCGGCCAACCTTCGCGGTTGGTCCTCTCCGTGATCGGCCCTTCCACTCGGTCCCCCTGCACAGTCGGACCACCTCCCGGTCGGTTCACTCCCTCGATCACCCCTGCCGATCGACCACCATCTTGCCAATCCCTAACACACTCATCTACTTCATTAATATTCCCTTCGTTAGACTAAAGCTGCACTCGGGAATGAGAGACTACTGGCGTGTATAAGCCCATAAAGGCCACGAATCACCTATGGACAATCCAAGCCCATCACTTGGAGCCCAATGCATAACCCAGCTGGCGAGGTCTAGGACAGCTGGAGTCCAACATGGCATAAAGAGCCAATGACATTCAGACACACGGAAAGAGAAGGACGAGCCACATCAGTAGACAAAGATCTGCAAAGTTATAGCCACTGCACATCACCATTAATGCAGCCCATCACAGCATTTATTACGACAACACCTCTCCGTCGGAACAGGACCTCCTTACCCTGAACAAGGTAAGCTACAGCATAGGCTTTCGGCGAGGAGGGCAGGTCGGAAGGGACAGCGAAATGATTACTAAAGGATATAAACAAACGTTGAAGACAAGAAGAAGGTTAAGTTTTTTATCTCTAATCTCTCCCTCTATACTCTACTTCTCTTCCTAACTTGCTCGTCGGAGGGTTTACTGGGGGACTACCTCGTTCCCCGTCGAACTTGCTTGCAGGTTATCCAGTGGGCTTGATCATTTGGGCTTAGGCTTGAGGAGCTTGGACCAGTCCGATCTATTCACTGGGACAAACTGTATCATCATTAATAAATACATAAAAATACAAAAAATGTATTGAATTCTCTTCTTTTTTTTTGTATTTTTGGTATTTAGTGAATTTTTTTAAAAAAAAATTTACAATTTTTTTTACTTTTTAGGTATATTTATGTTAGGTATGTCTAAAAATTAAAAAAAAAATACTTAAAATATTTAAAAATTTTAGTAAAAATAAAAAAATATAAAAAATAAAAAAATAGAATTTTCTAAAAAACTCTAATCAAGCAAAGTTTGCCCAAAAAACAAACAAAGCAGAAAGAGAAGATAAAAAAGGACTAAGGACATTGGTGGTGGTGTAGTGGAAAGTAGGACTTTATGATGGGTTACCAGCAAGCATGAGTGTGTAATTAGATAAGCTTTTGTGTATCTGACTGACCAGTGGACTTTTTTTTTTTAATTTTTTTGATCTGAAAAAAAAAATTTAAAGAAAAAAAACTTTTTTTGAAGGACATGGTGGTGTATGCTATTAGAGAGGAGACCACTTTTCTTTGCAGTACAATTTATTGTTGCCATTTCTGGAATCCTCCCTCCTAATTCCATACACATCCTCCCAAACTAAGGACACATTTTTAAGCTTTGACTGTAATCCTGTCTGAATGATTTGCCCACCAAAAAACCGCCACTCACTTGTTCAAATCTTTTTCAATAGTTTTTTTTTTTTTTCTCTTTTTTGAAATCGAATTTCTCAAGTTATTCAGTATGTTTGGTTTTAATTTTTTAAATTTAATTTTTTAAAAATTAAGTTTTTTATTTTTTGTGTTTTTAGTGAATATTTTTAAAATTTTAAGTAATTTTTTTAAAATTTTTTTTAGATACACCTTGTTTAGATGTATCTAAATAATAAAATATTTGTGTAAAAATATTTTTAAAAATTAATAAATATACAAAAATATGAAAAATATACTGAAATTTCGTATTTATCTTTTTTTTTTGGTATTTAGTGATTTTTTTTAAAAAAAATTACAAATATTATACTTTTTAAGTGTATCTATATTAGGTGTGTCTAAAAATTAAAAAAATTACTTAAAATATACGAAAAATAAAAAAGTAAATTTTTTTGAAAAGTATTACCTGAAAACTAAAATCAAACAAGTTGATTGGTTTTGGAAGTTGTGTTTTAAACACATTTTAAATTTAAAATCATTTCCTCTGATTCATGACATTAAGAAAAATGATTTCAATCAATTTATCTTTCACTCATATGAGAAAAATCATGTTATTTTGTAGTTTATGTTGTAAAATTTTGTGTAGGAGTGAAAAAAGAGTCAAACAATTAATTGTTTAAATCTAGTTTGAAAACTTTAATGAATTTTAAAATTTGTTCAAGTTTTGATTAGTTACATTTTTTAGCCCATTTCAGGCAAGTTTTTGTCAAATTGAGCTTGAGTAATTTAATATTTTTTTTATAATTTTAGACTTATCAAAAAAATAGCCTTGGTCTCGGGAAGGCTTTCATGCATATCTCTCTAAAAATGATCCACCACACCAAAACTTGTCGAGGCTCAACCCGACCCGACCCAACCTAACCACTCAAACTAGGGCCTAGGCCATGTTTTTTAAGACTTGATTAATTTCGGTCGAGACCTAACCTTGTTCAAGTTATTTTAGTAAAAAATTGTAAAAATCATCACGCCCGGCCCATCTAAGGCCTGATTGCCCTTGCTCGATTTTTGACGGGAGCCTGATAGGCTCGAGGCCGAATTTACATCCCCTTATCTAGTAGTTGGGTTGGGTCAGAGGTGTATTCAATTTTTGCTCTTTAATTATCAGTTTTAAATTACAAACGCTGCACCAAACAGACCTGATATCAGTGGGACCTGGTGGGTGGTCTGTGACTATAGCGTGTGGTGTAACCCCACGTCTCCGGCAACGAATCACGGTGGCGGTAGCAGTGGTGGTGGTTCAGGTTAAAAGGGTGGGTAGCTAAAGGCCATGAGTGAGCTGGTAAGCACTTACAAAGTATAAACACATAAACAATAATACCTCTTATATTATTATTATTATTATTATGGGTCTACATGGCAAGATTTTTTTAACCGTTGATAAGCTTTCCTAAAACAGAGACTTTTTTTACTGTTCTTTGTAACAATTTAAATAGCAGTCTCACTTTGTCCTGTTTTGTCGTGCTTTTGATTCTCCTTTGGTGGATCCAGTTTGTGGTTGGTTGTTTGATTATTCTGTAGCTTAAACTTTAATGGGTTTTCAAATGATGACTGCATTATTATGGGACTCATGAAAGATCTTTTCCAGTTTTTTTTTTTTGGGGGGCGGGGGGCGGGGGGGAGGGTTTCTAGCACAATCCAACTCTAACCCACATAAATAGGTTAGTCTCTCTTAATCAATTCATATACATCATTGTATTTGTTTTCAATTCTCTCAAATTTTCTTTCTTTGCTGTTTCCATTAGTTTGGAGGGATTGAATTAGTTTTTGGTTTCAATCTGAGGACTTGATGCTGCAAATGATATCATATACGCCAAGTGTTTGTGTTCTTGCTTCTGTTTCTGTAATATGGTGTTGGTGTTTGTTGCGTTCATAGTTTTGCTCGAGTTCATATGCTAGAATCGTATCAATTCGTTGCTTGTCCTTCTAAGAATTAGTATATGATTTGTTGTTCAAGCTCTTTGGTGATCGAGTTTGTGTCTCGTTTGGTGGATTGGGGTGTTGTTTTAATGATATAACTTGTTATATTTGAAAATACAATCATGCAGCTTTAATTCTCCGAATTTCTTAGCATATCATTTTTTTGCCTTTCTTGACGTCATTAGGGATGGATGCATCACTTATCTATTACAGAAAAAGTATTTAGAACCATAATTGTTTTCGAGAACCCAAAATAATTCATATACTGTCCCACAGTGGAGGCCTCATCGTGCATATGTATGTCATGTAATCATATATCAGCGAATAAGCATTCTCCCTCACATTCTTGTCAGAATAACTTTTTTTCTTCTCTTCTTTTTTCATTTTTAAATTTTAAAATGTTGACAAATAGACTGCCTAATACTATATATCAAATGACAGTAGTAAGAGATGTAATTAGAAAGCTGTGATTGGTGGGCTTTGCCTAGAGTTCTGTTATTTTGTCAAGTTCTGTTTCTCTGAGACATCTTCTTTCACTGTTGGTTGATGCAATTTTGCATAATTTCTATTACATCATTTGTATGATGCTTCAGCTGAATTTTTATGTTTGCTTTTTTATCAGTGAATTAAGGTATGAACTCTTCATCAACTCAATTTGCCACTTCAGGAATGATGGGTTTATATGAGCCAATCCACCACCAGGTTAGCATGTGGGAGAACACATTTAATGGTGATTTTAGCCCAAACAAAGGCGCGCCTGCAATTGTACAGGGGGATGCAAGTGTAGGCAACAAGGTGAAGATTCATGGATTTTTCTCCCTTAGTTTAATGAATTTTGATTGTTTATTCCTATGGCTATATTGTAACCGATTTTCTTGATTTGATTCTCTAGTCTGAATATACTTCTTATGAGTCAATAAGCTCTTTGGGAAACAATCAAGAACCAAAGAAAATGTCTGATAAGGTGATTACTATTAGAATGCATGGCACACTCCTTCACCTTTCTCTCTTAGAATTTCTCTCTCCTAGCCAGCACAGCCTTACTACCAAGAGCATTACATTTAGTCAGTGTCGCTTCTACAGGTGCAAAGACGCCTAGCACAAAATCGTGAAGCTGCCCGTAAATGCCGTTTGAAGAAAAAGGTACTAAGAAATACTTGGCTACAAGTTTATACTTCATGCTGATCAAAGATATATAGTTTTCAGGAGTTATTGGCAAAAGTGTTTCAAATCTCTTTAACAGGTCCATGTTCAACAATTGGAAACATGCCGTTTGAAGTTGACACAATTGGAGCAGGAACTTCAGAGGGCTAGACATCAGGTGAGAAGGAGACTGCTTATGGACTTCCTTATTGACCAAGCACATTCTAATTTAGCTATCTTACGGATCAGTGGATGTTTTGTTGCAGGGTTTGTACGTTGGGGGTGCACCAAATAATGGTCATGTAGGATTGTCTGTTCCTTTAAACTCAGGTTTTGTGATTTCTTATATTCTCAACCTCTAGATGTTTTGTTGTTCTGCATCCTATGTTCAGATTTTTAGCTTATGTTTGTGTAAAAAATCATATTGTGAGGATTTTTCCTCTTCTTGATCTTTGTCGTTGAGTTACATGATTTTCATTGAAGGATTGGTGATCTGATATTTCATATTGAAGTTCACATGATAGTTATAGTATCAGTAATGGCTTTTTGTTCAATGATCTATATTTGTGGAATGCTGCCCATTTGTTGCCTGATAACAAATAGTGATGGGGAATTTCTATTTGATTAATATGTTTGTGAGGAAGCTCTCTGAGAACATCTACCTCAGTTCCATTTGATTCAAAAAAAAAAAAGCAGAATTGTTTAATTTTATGTATCTGATATTCACCAACCAACCACCATCAGGTTACCACCAGGGAAGTCCTGTAGCCAGTTGGAAGTCCTTTTTGTTACCATCATTGACTGTTTTCATGTTACTTTAGTTATAAATGCATTCTCATTGTGCTTGTTTCCTTGTTTCTCTGGTGAGATGTTTGTGCCCAGCTCTTTTCCTGATATCACTGTCCAAATTGTGGATCACAGGTTGATGTGGACAGGAAAGGTGTCGGTTGAGGAAAGAATCGAGCACATTTGCAAATTTAGTTTTTTTTTTGTGTGTGTGTGTGTGTGTGGAAATTATATCAGTATTAGAATATTAGGTAGGAGTTAATTATTTGGAATGCTTTAATTATTACGTAAGATTTAATTATTTGAGTGTTTTATTTTGGAAGCTCTTAATTAAGGTTTTTGGATGCCTATAAATAGGCCATTGTGTTGTAGGGTTACTCAGCCTTGATTATGAATTGAGAATATTGAGATTGATCTTTTTAGGTTTATTTGTCTTTTATTTGAGTGTAGTTTGTTCTCTTCTCTCGCATTATTCTTAGTTTGCTAGCCGTCCTACACCATAGGTATTACTGTGTTTGAGATGGAATATGGACTCTGGATTGAAGAAGAACAAAGACAAAATTGTGTACTAAGAAAGGTGTTGCAAGATCATATAAGTGATATCGAGCTTCGTATGTTTGTGGAAACTGGCTTAAACCACTATTACAAGCTCTTCCAAATGAAAGAAGATGCTGCTAAGGCTGATGTCTTCTATTTGATGCATGGCACATGGAGAACACCTGTTGAGCGCTTATTCCTTTGGCTTGGAGGGTTCCGCCCATCGGAGCTTCTAAATGTAAGTTTAACTCAGTCAAATTTGGTCATTGCAGTTTTGTTATTTTTCTTGTCGCCTTCTATGTCACATTCATCATCTCTGATTGTATTGGCTTTTTAATTCTCATAGTTTATAAAGAAAACATCTGACAATTTTCTTGTAGATTATTAACTACAAATGACTTCATCTTCAGGCCTGTAGAAAAATTGCACAATTATGTGTAGACTGATGCTGCAGGCATGATTTGAAACATGTTGTACAATATGCTGATCTTTGAAGGAACTCTATATTCACCTCTTTCTACAGAAATATACTGTATCTACATTTCCAAATTGTGTCTCAACACTATTCATTCAAGTGAGCTCTTCATTAGAATCCTTGCACATGAATTTTCATATTGTCATGTTTATGACCTCGACCCTTCAATGCACAAAGAAAGTACACTAGATTTCCATGATTTTGACAGTACTATTCTGAAGATGATGTTGTGAGAGACCCGATTTCTACTGAGTCCAATACATCACATAATATGAATATCCATAGACAAAGAGTACTCATGCAAAATTTAGAATATCCTTGTTTCATTATCATAATTTTACTGAACTATGGTGTACATTCCCATTCATGAATTGTGAAATTATTGTTTTGAGTTTGGTTTAACAGATTCTATTGCCGGAACTTGAGCCCTTAACTGATCAACAAGTTCTGCTTGTTGGTAACCTACGGCAATCGTCTCAGCAAGCTGAAGATGCTCTCTCACTGGGAATGGATAGACTTCAGCAAACATTGGCCCAGAGCATCATAGCTGATCCCACCTGTGCAGGAATTTATGGTTCTCCAATGGCTTCTGCAATGGAGAATCTGGACGCGATGGAGGGTTTTGTCAACCAGGTAATATATCACTTCTCATCATCAAGTAATTTTCCATGCAACTGTTCAAATTCCTGCTCATTTTCCTTTGTCTTTATTTTGTTTTATATTTTGGGTGAACTGAGAGGAAATAACTGGAATGAACAACTATTGGGGTCAATATTGTTGTTGCATGATTTCATTTTTTTTATTCTATCTTGTTTTCCATAATAGTTCTTTTAGGAACACAAAAACCGATTACAAAACCAGATGCAAGCCTCTCTCATCAGTGCGGGACCCACAAAAAGGTGAAACTCACCTCATGAGAGGGTTGTGTCCAGTTTTGTGACCAGTTTCAGTGTTCCTAGACTTTTTCTTTCCACAATTGAGGGAAGGTTATTTTAGATAGCAATGGATATTATGACATTGAGAAGTTTCTTATGGGGGTGTTTGGCAAGAAAAAAAATAGCCTAGTTTAGGCTAAAATTCACAAAAAGACAAAATACGTTAAAATAGCTAATAAGACAAAATATCATATTAAACCCATAATCATTTCACTTTTTCTCTCACAAACATCACATCCAACTACAAAAAAATCCAATCATCTTCCCAAACACAAAAATTTTAGCCTACTAAAATAGTTAAAAACTAAAATAGCCTATTAAAATAGCAACTCCCCAAACGAAGCCTATATTTTGTTTCCTGAATGAGAAGTAAATGTGAACGCTTAAAATGGATTTCTCCCTGAAGCATTATAAGCCTTCTGAATCAAAAAAATTTCAATTCTTTTCACAAGAAAAACAGAGTGGTAAATTTTGTAGAGATGGAGGCAGTGTTTAACTAACTGTTTCTCTGAAGGTATCAATAGTTTATTTTAAGTGGGACAATTTGAGTGGTTTGGATTGGTGGAAATCCCACCTAACAGGGGTGCATCTAAATTTAATCTGTCAATACTGGTTCATTCATTTTCTTCAAAAGAACCATAAACATAGCAAACAAAAAAACAAAGAAAGCAATATATGGACTCAGAAGGGAATCCATATGGTTTGAAAACTACTGACAGTATGTCATGATATTAGCAACCCCTCCTGTGAGAGCCTGTCTGTCCTTAAAGTAAACTTTTCCTTGAACTAAGTTTCCTTCTGAGTCAGAATCCATACTATAATATAACCTGTGGAAAGATTAATTAAATTTCAGTAATCTGACCATCCTCTCTAGCCAAGTGGCATTTGCTTGGTGCAATGTCAAAAGCTTGGGCTGCTTATCGTGAGAATGCACGTTTGAGTCTGTGAGCAGCCACTTCGTGCATATTATTTCACATGATTACGTGTGTATCAAGTCTACCCATTTCATCACCTGTCATTAACGGGGGGCCCAAACTGGTAATTCCCTTTTTACAATTCTTTCCAGTGATGAAAGTTGGTTATCATCAATGCTAGGTGGTTGCTTAGACAAGTGTTTTTTTCTTCCTAATCTTGTGTATGTTAAATTTTGAATGTGGAAAGGGCATTTAACTGAACTATTGAGTATCTTGTGATTAATTTATGTAGACACGCCAGGCAAACGAATTGTTGAATACCAACTGTTGGATAGATGAAGAAGGAAAAGTTCTTGTAGATTCTTGTGCTTTAACTAGAAATATCCACTAGACCAGATTCGTTAGTTTAACAGATCTATTATGATTTGTAAATTATGCTGCTTAACTGACTTATGTCCACTTTTGCTTCTTATAAGAGAATTAAGAATTTACAGGTTTGTTGCTGTCTATTTTGAGTAACAGTAAAAGTAATTACCGGAAATAAGCTGTCTAATCTCTTCTTGTGCCTATCAGAACAAAGAATCACATAGATGATGCCAATTTTATCAACTCTGCTGAAAATCCTTTTAAGAAGCAGAGACCTCCAAGTTGAGAAATGTATGCAAAAACCAAACCAAACCAAACCAAGCCTTAAGTCCCATAATGGTAGCAAAAACTAAACTAAAAAAAAAAAATCCTTCATGCTAACAAATTATATTTACGACATTGAGTATAGTGTTAACCATCTATATATGAGTATCACGTTTAACAATCCCTTGTTTGTTCGCTGTACTACTTGTTGCTTTTCTAAAACAGGCAGATCATCTTCGCCGACAAACTTTGCAGCAAATGTCTCGCATTTTAACAATTCGTCAATCAGCCCGAGGATTGCTTGCCATGGGGGAATACTTTCGACGACTTCGTGCTCTTAGCTCACTTTGGGCTTCTCATCCTCGTGAACCTGCCTAGTTTACTATGTTAGGAACCTCAAACACGACATTTGAGTTGTCATCATTGGCAGTATTCATGCCGGACTTGCAGAGTAGACATATATTTTGATAGCTTTTGTCATGTATTTAGGGCTATGTAATCTGTTAATATTTGTTACGCAGCTTTTCGAGTTTGTAAATATAAATCATAGAGCTCCTTGTATTAGGAGACTAGATTGAAACCTTGTATGCAAGTTGTATAGTTGAATTGCTTGCAGGGAACCTTGTTTAAAATTCAGGTTTCAGATTTTTAAGTGGATTAATGGTCTGTTTGAGAAATCTTATTGGTTGAGATTAAGAAATGTTATGAATTTGTTTTTATAAAATATTTTAAATACTTCTAAAAAACATATATAATAAGAGATGGAAGCTGAAAGAAAATTATAAAGAAAGGGAGATAGACAGGTCTACGAAAACTACTTAGAAACATAGAGAATTTCTTAGATTTTATCTAGACAAATTTCTAGAAAATATTAAAAAAAAAAATTAAAAAAAACTTTTAAAATGTCTTAGGTGAATGATTTTAGAAACATATCATTAGAAAGTAGGCTTGAAAATTAATAAACTATATAACTCAAAATTTAGAATTATAGATTTACTCAGATATGAATATTCTTATTAAAGTTTAATATAACTTATCACTTTTATATCATAATTGATTTTGTTCAATTTTTTTTTTTCTTTCGGCTTAGAAAATAATAATCTTTTTATTTCCGGTGATTCATTTCTAGTAAACACAAATACAAATTTTAAAATTACTCCACATCCTGCCTTTTTTTGGTGATTCAACTTCATTATTATTATTATTTTACTTTTTTAGAGATTTGGTCTATAATTAGGTAAAACGTAAAATGTAAAATAAACAAAATGTTAATTGAAAAATAATAATATAGAAGAAAAAAAAAAAAAACCAAACTCAAAGGGCTGGTTTCAAAATGAAACTCTCAATAGATTAGGCTGATCTCTTTTGATATTTTAAAAAATACAATAAATCTTATAATTTTGACATAATTACATTGACTTCTATTTTAATAAGATTGAATAGACCAAAACAAATACAGATGTTGCGAAAATACAACAATAAACAATATAAACTATACATTTTCGTATAAAAGAGATGATAACATTATTTTTTTTCATTCATATAATTAACAAATTATTAATAAAAAAGAGATTAAATATTATATAAATTAAAAGTACAAAAAAAACTCAATATAATTATTTTAAAATTATAAAATATATTTTATTTTCTTTAAATTATAAGGAAGGTTAGTTTAATTTAGTCATAGGATTTTAATTTTAAGGGTACAACGATAATTATGTGGTGAAAGAAGGGTATAACAGTAAAATAATTATTCTCCCCAACTGTCAACGGAAAATAGGAGCCCAGCATCCACAAATTTCCAACTATTTACAAAAGCAATTTTTTTTCCCCAAAAAAAAAAAAAACTGAATCTAAAGAGGTTCACTCAGATGGGAGCTTCTATCTACACACACCAACTACCCTCTTTGCACATCCTTCTCACTACACACACCAAAAAAAATCATTCCTAATTCTTTTACTCACTGCACACACATTTGATTCCACATCTATCCTCACACTCACACACACACAGTTGGGGTAACTTTTTTCACCAATCTTTAATTTTTTTCATTTGCCAAATAGCTCCCAACGGCTAGCATACCCCATGTTCATTTGTAATGCAGAGTTTTTCATTTGTAACCGTCGTTCGGAATTGGTTTTCCGAAATACAACAATTTGTTCGGACGTAGAAATCCAAAAATAATCAATAATTTCATCAGTAGATTTCCAAAAATGTTTCTGTCACGACCCAAACCCGCGCCCTATGGGTTTAGCACCGTAACCGGCCAGTAATCCGTGATTACCAAAGGCCTGCTTAACAGTAAAAACAGTAATACAGAGCAAGGGACTTGCGGAAGTCAAAACAGTAAATAAAAGGTGTCTAATGAGCTGTGACATTCTGAATGCAAAACGACTTTCTTGAACATATTCACATTCAAAACCAAAACAGTATATACATACATCATATACAAACATTCAGATTATGGACCAAATCCCTAACATAACAGTACAGTGCAAGTCTCAACATTTATTACAAAACAGAGGCAAAAGGGGAAATCTAAAACACCCAAAACCAGCCTTGGCTTGACGCACTCGGAATCTCGAAGTGAGGCACAATGATTGGCTTTGACAAAACGGGAGCTTAGCCTGACGCTCGTAGCATCGATCCGGTGCCTGGACACCTACATATATATATAAATAGTGAGCTAAAGCCCAGTAAATAACAGTTATGTAAAGAGGTTAAGAATGAATGTCCTTTCAGTAATTAACCAGTCATATCAGTCGTTTAGAAACCATAGCAGTCATATGTGGTACATCCCATAGCAAAACAGTACAGTAGGTCTTAACAGACCGAACAGTCAGTTGATGGCCATCATAGCAATAACAGTAATGGTTCCAAACTTGGGAACCGACAGAGATCTCTGTGACAATAGTAGTAATAGTACAGTAACAGTAAGTTGTTAAGGATGCCACGAATACAGTTTACAAATAAGACAAACATTCGTTCATTAAACAATAATGTTTCAGTAAACAGAACAGTTGATCATTCAGAAAATATTCATAATTGAACATATCTTTACAACATTGTTACTCACAGAGCACTGGGCTATAAACAGCTAATGAGCGTCCTTGGATGCCAACCCTACACAGTTACAGAACGAACACACACTAAGTTACACACTTGGAAATCAACAACTTAGTCCCTATCTTGACTCGGTGTGGTTCTATATCAATATCCACATTAAGATGCCTTAAACATGGCCTATGAATGCCTAGGATGAAAAGAGGATACAAGAATGCACTTCAAAACAATTTTCAAAATTGCTGAAACAGGGGTTGTCATGACCCAAACCCGCCCCTATGGGTTTAGCATCGTAACCGGCCAATAATCCGAGATTACCGAAGGCCTGCTTAACAGTAATACAATAATACAGAGTACAGGGGCTGGCAGAAGCCAATATAGTAATTAAACAATGTCCAATGAGCTGTGACAGTTTGTATGCCAAAAAGACTTTTCATTCAAATATATATATAGTCGGACAAAACAGTATATACATATATACAATCATTCAGTTCAGGGACCTAATCCCTATTAAATAGTACAGTACAGTACAGTAAACAAAACAGTTACAGAGACAGAATGGGGAACGAAAACACCCCTAAGCCATAACTTGACAGGCTCGGAACCTCGCAGTGAGGCACAGTGGTTGGCTTGACAAAACTGGAGCTTACCCCGACGCTTCTAACCACGGTCTGGTGCCTGTACACCTACATATATATATGAGCAGTGAGCTAAAGCCCAGTGAATAACACAATGCGTAAAGGGGTTAAGAATGAATGTCCTTACAGTAATGAAAACAGATTCGTAATCTCAGTATAGCAGTCATACAGTCATATGTGATTACATCCATTAGCATAACAGTACATAAATAGTAGGTCTTAAAAGACCAATACAGTAAATGATGGCCATCAACTCAGTAAACAGTAGTGGTTCCAACAAGGGAAACCGACAGAGATCTCTATAACAAGTAACAAGTAAATTCAGTAGTTTCGCTAAAGGATGTCACAATACAGTTCAGAATATAGGACATTACATCATTCAATAAAGTATTAGTTCAGAAAAAGCAGTACAGTCAAATTGTCCAGAAGACTAATCATTTTGAACATATCTTTACAACATTGTTACTCACCGAGTTCTGGACTCAACAGCTAAAGGCTCGAGTGGCTTCCCCAGTTCGCCAACCCTACACAGTTTCAGATTGAACACACACACCAACTACACAGGTTAGGAAATATAATAATCTTAATCCCTAATGAGCCTCGGTGTGTTCTACATCTTATAGTCTCATTAAAATGCCTCTAAATTAGGCCTAATACTGCCTAGGATGAGAATGAGATGCAAAGATGCACTTTCAAAGCATTTTTACGAGATTTTCACAAAACAGGGGTTCACGTCGAGCGAGTTTTCTCTGCTCGAGAAGGACATACGACAAAGGTTTCCGCTCAAGCGTAGAATACGCCTCGAGCGTTACTGCAAAACATCAAAAGTGGCTGGATAGGCTGAAATCACGTCGATTGGGCGCTCGACACCCGCTCGAGCATGTGACACAATGCCCGCACGAGCGCAATTATCCCGCTCGACGAGCACTTCAAAACAGAACAAAAATGCTGGAAGCCAGATTCTACCCACGCTCAAGCGCCATCACTCGAGCCGCTCGAGCTGTGAGTCCAAATTCCTGGAAAATTTCGGATTGAAACCTCAACCAAAACCAACGTTTAAAACCATTAAATTCGATCCTCTATGGGCCAATTTGTCCAGAAAACATCTCAAAACTCATAGTTTGAAAATGATCCAAAGCTCAATGGTAGAAATCAAACAGCCCAAAGGTGTTTCAAACAATCAATGTTCAAAACCAATTTTCAAAAGAATATGAAGAAATGCAACATGCATGGAACTTAAATCATTCCAAGCTTTAAATACAAGGCTCAAATGAGCTAACCTCTTACAAAAACAAGATGAAATCATGGTTTATGATCTAAAACATGGACATCATGTGACAAAATTGCCACTGAAAACACAACTTAAGATATCATCAATAACAAACACAAGTATGCATAATAAGTTATAATTCAACATGTGAAGCTATTTCATGACTTAATCAACTACAATTTGACAAGAATCATGTAGAGAACAAGTTCAATTCACAAACAAGAGGGTAATTACACTACCTTAGGCTCTTGAGATTAGACGGTATGAAGGCTCAATTGTTGTAATTTCCTACGAATATCTTCAAGATTCCAAGCAAATCCCTCAAAGAACACCTCAACTCTCTCCTCACTCTCTATCGTTGGGTCGGTTGGCTATCTCAACATGGTGCGCGTAAGAAATGCCAAATCGTAGAGCTGTCATAGTGTAAGTAACGGCTCAACATCTTGAGATAAGTGGCCACTAAGATGCAAAAATGGTAATCTAAGTCTAAGTTGTGCAATTATCAATAATTAACCTAATTTAATCATACCAAATCACATTTTAACTAAAATTATGCCATAAAATCCAATTAATTCTAAAGGATGCAACAAATCCATCAGCAATATTCTCAATATCTTCGTCGCGCGCTCGCCATATAGTGCCCAGGTCAGATATGGAGACTATGTCGCAATTTAAACACAAAGGC